TTATAAACTAAATCACAGTCATTTTTATTTTGTGCTATATCTTTTATCTGCTTTATCTTTTATATTGTTCTGTATGCGTATTTTTTTGAATTTATTAAAAAAATGTTTAGGTATTATTTCCGTAAAATAGATTGGCAGCGATATTACAGAGACTGTGTTTCGCCACAACTTGTTGTACAAGTAAAGCGGTATGGATTAACTTCGAAGCAAATTTTTCTATCATTCGTTTAATATCATATCGTGTTGCTCTTAATGAATTCCTCAAAATAATCTTACGATTTTCACATATAGAATCGTTAAGATCTTCGTTCCTGGATAAATGTAGTGAATGTAGTTGTTAGATTCTCTTTACTCATATTTGCATTATAATAACATTGATAACCTTACCTAGAAAATTGATCCATATACGATCATAATTTAATCGTATATGGAATACATGGTAAACTAAAATGAAACATCTAACTTGAAGTTGAAGTTTAATATATCCTACACATACCACTCTATATAAATACCTTTTATTGTATTTTAAAATATATTCATAAATACACAAATAAATTTAAGACAATAAAGCTCAAAGTAATTCATTTTTTCCTACACGAAATTTTCGAAGATTCCATACAATAAGAAAGTGCTTGATAAAGCACAATAATAAACTTAAAAAACATTAATGTCTATAAAAAAAAATCTTCCTATATAAGTTAAAGTGTCGTAATAAGAAATGTGTTCTCAGTTCATCTGAGTAAAAGTGGACGTTTAATAAGAAATATTTAGGTTTGACAAGGAGGTGTATTGCTGTTTATTATCTGGACTAATCCTCCTGGTTTCGAAAATTAAGAGTTATTTTTAATAAATTATATAAAATAAATATATAAAATAAGTTTTTCTGAGCACATGTTATATGTGAATATATATAATATATGTTCTGAGTTACTAAGTGCCGTATTATACAGACAGTCATATGACGAATGGTCATTGCAATTTTACTCTCTTGTTGACCATACCCAAAAGCACGGTTGCCACTTGAAAATTTTTTCCTGTACCAAAATTGGTTTAAAATGGTACCATTTCTGTAAAAAAAGGTCAAAAATTTTTTTGAACCTTTTTATTTTTTCGTTGTGTGTTTTTCATAGTGTTATAAATGAACAAAATATAAAATGGTGCGAAGTTGCATTTATAAAAAAAATTAATTGGAAATATCCACAATAAAGTTGGGTCGTCAAAAATGTACCATTTTTTGAAAGTGAGTACCAAACGACAAAAAAAAAAAGTACCAATTTTGGTACTAAAGTACCATAAGTGGCAACCGTGGGTGCTGGTAATGTGAAAGCATATCCACACAAAAATGCAAAAATTTATTCTCAATAGGAGCAAAGTATGCTATTTAACAGCAACATTTCGACAAATGTGACAAGATACAGAAAATGAATACAATTTACTATGAACTTTTTATTTATAAACTTTTTCCAAAAAAAAAACTACATTGTTTATATCATTACATATTTTCGTAGTTAATGAAGTTACAAATATAATTACATTGAAAATGGTGTAAGTCCACTTTCCTCGAAGACATACTCTACTACTATTTACTTCAAAATTGTACTACATAATTTTTTTAGTGCATTTTTATATATGCGGCAACATTGTAAGTGACATAAACATTTTTATATTTTCCCGGAATTTCGGTTTTTCTTTTGTGATATGCAAAAGGCATTATCCTACACAAAATTAACGGCGTCCATTACATATTATAAACGTTATATGAATATTTTAAATTTAGGATTCCATAACTTTCATAATAAGGAGGTTGATTTGTGTGCATGGGACGAAACTATAGCATATAGGAGAGCAAAAGTAAACAAGTACGAATTAAGGGAATAATGCTATGGAAATCGAAGTGGCTATAATACTTTCTGTACATATTCCCAATAATGTTCTTTCAATGGTGTTAGCAATCATTTCGATAAATTCGAAATCAACAAACTTCGCTTATCCAACCAGGCGTTAATGCAATGTTTTTAGCATTTTTCTTTCTTGTATTCAATATTATATTAAAAAAAAATTATTCTTTCGATCAATGTTTTAACAAGCTTTTGTTTGCATTCTTACACATACTGTCTAGACAATAAAAGTGCTATAGTAAAGCATGAATATGTTTGGTTATTATATTAAAAATCTAATATATCTTGAGTGCATTTATTTACCCGTTCAATATTAAAGAAAACAGAGAGAAATGTTTTATGAAAAGCATTCCATACAAAAATAAAATAAAAAGAGGTAATGGACAATTATTAAGATTATCACTATGAGTTTTAAAATATTAGCTTCAATTACACGTATATATCGAAGATAAACTAGAAGAAAATTTGCATTGTCTCCACATACATTTCTATGCGTTCAGCGATTTTGACAAAAGCTGCACGTAGCTTACAAATACTTTGCCGGACACTTGCCAGGGTATCAGGGTGATAAAGTACTCTGGAACCAACAGAAATGTAGAGTGCGAATCATTTTTAGATCTTGGAATACATCTAATACAATGACAACAAAATAAAACTTGTTTAATATATTATCCTTAATCGAAAATGGGCAAACTACCTTAAAGGTTGAAATGATAACCATTTGTGAGATGGGATGACTAAGAAGGTACAAACGACAGCTGACGTAGAAAAGAAAATGATGACAACAAACTTGATTCAACAGTAGAAATAAATCATTAAAATACTATATAAATTATTTTTTATTTAAAATACTTCCTAACTTGAATGTATCCAGAATTTATAATTTTTATAATGTGCTCTCCAAATTGCATTATTAATAGCTTCCATATTAATTTCTATAATCATGTAGCCATAAATTTTGCTAATGCTGTTTGAATAGAGTAAGGCGATTGTTATAATGACTTCTTTATAACATCTTTGGATCTCTAAGAGTTAGTGACGAATCCCGCAATTTTTACAATTTTGACGACATTTTAATAACAACTACCCACTTTTTATTGGAGCATAATCATCCATGCTTGCAATATGACCAAGCCAACGAAGGTTCTGGATTAATTCGTTAATTGTAAAAATGTTGTCAAAGTTGTAAAAATTGCGGGATTCGTCACTAACTCTTAGAGATCCAAAGATGTTATTAAGAAGTCGTTATAACAATCGCCTTACTCTATTCAAACAGCATTAGCAAAATTTATGGCTACATGATTATAGAAATTA